AAAAAGCTGTTTGTGGCTCATTCTTAACTTAGCTTCTAGGTGGGAATGGCAAGGCAGGTTTGGGGGTTCTCCGGCTTCTTCTTGCTCCCCTTTTCCCACTGAACATGTTGTCCAAGTCCATCTTGTGCATTAACTCCACCATTCAGTCCCTTCACCATTCAGTGTGCTTTCAGAGAATGCTACTTGGGTGTGGGGGAGCAAGGTGCGATGGAGGAGGAATTGCTGCCTGGAAAAGACAGCTTACCCTAGAGATGCTCTGCACATTTTACTGTTGACTTGTTACCCCCTACCCATGAGCAATACCTGTGCACAGTAAGAGCCTGTGATCAGTAGGGTGGACAACAAGGATGGAGCAGCTTTCTAAGCTCATGGTGAGGTTGAAATTTCTGTACCTGTAAACCACTGCATCCTTTGAAGTCTCATGGAGTGGACATCTGCCCCTCTTTTGCAGCCATCATTGCTGATTCCTACTCAACTCTTGGTGGCATCTGTATCTTTTACCTCTTGTTTTTGAGGATAGCAGCTCCATTTGGCAGAGACCTGTCAGGAGCCTGTGACTTAGGTGAGGCCCTATTGACTGCGGTATTCCCTGCTGAATTCATCTGACTGGTAAAATATAAAATCTCCACTAAAGGCTGCTAACTGGTGGGCTGTAAAAAAATAAAATAAAATAGCCCACTTCCCCTCACATCTCTTCAGTAGGTTTAAGCCATCGTAAATGTCTTTTGACCCTTGAAAAGAAGAGCAATGTTCTTGTCATGCAAGATCATTTTTCCTTGTGGTCTCACCTGTGGACCAAAGGCTGGGCCAGTGTAGCATCTCAGTCTATGATATTTAGAGGGTGTGGTAACATGTGGAAGGATGAGAAGATGACTGCTTTGAAGGGGGTCAGAAGCATCTCTGTGCTTTGCCCCCAAGACGTGTGCTGGATGCAGACGACTGCTTTGACAGAAAGGGACCTTCACCTTTCTTTGCCAGGTTCCTTCTAGCAGTGCAACACTTGAAGAAGTCCAGTGAGGAAGATGAGTAAATATTATGGTAGAATGATGACAAAATGAATCTCTTTCCCCGGACAAAGCCGAAGTATTAATATTTCAATACCTCTAGGTTGCAATTTCCTACAATTTAAGAAGATTGCTCTGTGAGAACTCGAAATGTGTTTTCTTCAGCGCTGGGAACACAGACTGTGCATCTTCGCTTTGGTGCTGCTGTTCTGTTGCCATCCCATCCTCCCTTCTGTACCAGTGCCGAAGGTTGGGTCTAAATTAATGCCTTTGATATGTAGGTTACAGCCAAGGATTGTGACCAGATGCCAGAAGTGATTTCTGTTTTAAAAATATTGCAAGGCTATTTCTATGTTTTTAATCTCTCCTGGTGATTTGGAGGCAGTTTTATGAAACATGGAATTAGGATGGTGCTCACCGTTAAATGGTAAAGGAGATTAGATGGATTTAACTCTATGCGTCTGTCTCATAACTACTACCAATCCCATAACTTCCATTTTCTATTAAAAATCCATTCCGCCCCTTTTGACCTGCAAAAGCTTTACTAGTAATTTGAATTCCTCTCCTTATTTATGAGGATTTCCAGCCCTCTTTCTCCCCACCCCCATATCTGTGCAACTAACCTTAACATGGTGAGTAGGGTGGGGGACTCACTGCAGAGAAAATGGTTATCTCCCAAGGGGTTGCTGCTCATGGGAGCACTGAATGCAGTGGTGAGAGAATGGGGGTCCTCCTACTGGACCTGAGTGGGCTTTGCTAGCAGCTGCATGAACATGGCTGCCTCCTCTAAGGGCCCCATTTTGACCCTTAAAGCCATTCTTGCAGTGAGCCCAGATTTCTGTAAGCCAGGACCAGGGCTGTGTCTGTTCTTCCCAGTTCTGTGACCCGAATACATTATGCAAATATTTGCTTGGCTGGCATAATTCTGTTTCTGGCAGGAGGTACGCAGAGCTTGTGTATTTATTTATTTATTTGTTATGAAGATTTATATCCTGCCTTTCTATAATATATCCATAGTGGCTTATTAGCAGGGCTGAAATACAAACACAATAGTAAAACAACAAGATGAAATGCTGTATCAAGTAACAAAGCTTCAGAGCTTTGATTGCTGAAAGTCCAGCTCTTCCCGCCTCCTCTGTTCAAGCTTATCTGCTAGAAATGCCTCTCTACTCTCTTACCAAAAATCTGCAATTCTTAGGATGCTGAATTTTATGTCTTGCACCAAATCCCACTTTTGCACAACTGGGATTCTTTTTAACAAAACAGAAATGCTGGAATAGGTGGATCGAGATTTGATCTATGAAGTGCTTATTTTGGTCTTAGGAAAGAGGGCAAACATTGTTAGCCATTGGAAGGATAATGAGTATTCACTCTACCTCTGTAAAACTCACACGTGTTGGCGGGCCAAGGAAATTCTTGTAGGGGAAAAAGCAAGAGAAAAGGGGAAAAGAAAGCAAACCAGGGATGGAGTTCCCTCACTTCATGGTTGAAGCAGAGCTGGGGACACCCTGGAGTGGAGAGGGACTGCCAGGCAGTGTTCACACAATAATGGACTAGATGGTTGTTTTCTGACACTCTTCTAGTTAAATTTGCTGTTATGTAGTTGTGATGACCCTGAGTTGATGGTGAGGAGAGACGCAGGAACTCAATGGGTAGCATGTCTTAGGTATCGTGTTTGCAGTAACTGGGAGCTGGCTTGTGCCTCTTCCCTATTGGCAAGGGCCTATGGTGAGTGTGTGTTGTCTGCCTGGAGTTTCAGAGAAGGGGATCCTTGTGTTTGGGTTTTGTCCTGGGGAGGCTTGGGATGAATCTAGCAGAAGCATTGTTTGGGCCATAACAAAGTGCCTCCTATGGGCTGGTAAATAGCGGGAAATGGTGTAGCACATCTTGTCCCCCCAAAAAATCTTCTCTTGCAGCAGAGTGCCTCCCCACCCCAGCAATTTTGTCAGGCAGATGTTTGTATCCAGAGCAAGGAGCTTATTCTGAGAGAGGGGCGGGTGTGTGAAGAGCCTTTCCATCGCCTCCTGTGGCTCCATTCAGACAGTTTTTGCTGTCTTGCAGCTCTGTTAACTGCTTCCTTGTTTCTAAGAGATGCACATTAATGTGCCTGTACTGTGAAGTAATTAAAACATTCTAGATATTATTTTTCTAATGCCAGCCCAAGAAAGCTGTGTGGTATTTGGACCCATGGTATTAGAAGAGGAGACGGCTTCTGAATATTCACCATCATGATGAAAACAAAAATATTTTTTCCCATCTTGCTTAGCATTTACGGTCTCATCCCTGCTTTGTGTTGAGATGTGAATTGCTGTGCCCAATAAGGCTTTAATAGCCTTTCCTCAAATGAGCAGTTGGGATGGAGGCATCCTCCCTGGAGGGGCTGGTGGTGGTAAAGTAGTCTGCTAAGAATATTAATAGATGAGCCATTTTTTGCCATTCGCTGCCATTTGTCTCCCTCCTGCACCCCCCCAAGCAAAAAAATAAAAAATAAAATACTGGGGGAAAATTGAGGTTGTGGAAGGTCCCTTGTGACTTTGTCCAAAGCGATAGTGCTTTTTCCTTCTTTGCATGGTTGTAGGCGCAGCTGGGAAGGTGGCTGGGCTCTGAGCCCGAGGAGGAGTTGCTAATTCCCTGGCACAGATTGCTCCGTCCTCGATCTTTGTCCTTCCACCTACTTAAAAGTAGCACAGCTAAAAAAAGGAGTCAAATCTGAATGGCTTTGGGGACCTCCAGCTGATTCTCAGGAAATATCTGGCCCCATCCAAGCACATTGCAGCCTCCAGCATGTATACAGGTGTTGGTGTAGGTGGTGTGTGCTTGTGCCCCTTGCAGAGAAGACAAAAGTGCTTCTTTCCCCCAAGTAGGGTGCTCTTGCCCATATCTGAGATTTAGGCACACTGCCCCATACCCTGTGAATGGCACAGTAAATGGTAGAAGTGACACCAGAGCAACTGACTAAGCCTTCCTTGTTGGGGTGGTGGTGGTTTCAAGAGGCTTCCTGCTGGACACTGGAGGGCAGCACAGAGGCCTGGCAGATCTTGAAAAAGACACTGGAGGGAGATGTGGGTGTAATTGGCTGAACTGGCTTAACCCAGATCCTTATTCCTGTGCATGATATTCCTGTGCAAGAGTGGGGTGGGGAGGTCCTTGTCCCTCAACTCCTTCCATTATCTCTTCCCAAGCTACCCTCCACCTGAGCAGCTGTAGATGTTTCCCTCCTTTGATAGCTATTGTACCCTTGAGCAGTGATTCTTCTGAAAATCTTCATCAGTCTTCTCTCTCCCCTCCCCCTGGTATATGTGCTAAGTTACACATGTTCTCAACAGCATGACAAATTGGATAAATGGGAAGCTCAGTTCTACCACTCATTGTTATGTGAGATTCATTAAATTGTTTGCTGAAATGTTTAGGGTTTTTTTTGTTTTGTTTTTTTAATGGGTTTATTCATTCTGTAAGAGGGCTGATGGAAAACATATAAGCTTACAGGGATCTGGAGTATGTACTTCATGAAGTCCTGGCTGCCCAGTCAGTTCTTGAGTTTTGAACATTTGGCAGATACTTCCTCTGAAGGCCTTTCAGAAGCTGCTGTCCTTGTGGTTTGAGGGATGCCTGCTGAAGCTTCTGATTCTGTGGTTCTTGTCAATAATTGGGGCTGTAAATCCTGCCCCCAGAGGGCAGACCTCCTGGCATAGCCAAACAGCCTCATTCTGATGTGGCCTTGAGGGTCTGTTTGGTACTTGTAAGCCAGGACCTTGTGAATTTGCACTGGGCTCTGAAACGGAAGTTTAGCAGGCCTCTGCTGGCCTTGCCTCTGGAGAAGGTGTCTCAGCAAGTATTCCTAGAAAAGAGCCACTGTCTCATTTCCTTGGTGCTGTGGGTGAGCTAAGGTAGTGGGAGTATCCAGTGGCAATGACTGGGCTGGCTTTTGGGATTTGCGCTCCTGGCACCACTCCTCATAATGCTTGATCTCCCATTTTCTTCTCTTCTCCTCTGCAGCTCATACAGAAGATGTTGGAACCAGCCTCTACTTTGTGAACGACTCCATTCAGCAGGTGACCTTCTCCAGCACTGTGGGGGTGGTAATCCCCTGTCCAGCAGCAGGGTCCCCCAGTGCCACCCTTCGCTGGTACCTCGCCACTGGGGATGACATCTATGATGTCCCACACATCCGTCACGTCCATGCCAATGGGACGCTGCAGCTCTACCCTTTCTCGCCATCTGCCTTCAATAGCTTTATCCACGACAACGACTATTTCTGTACTGCAGAGAATTCTGCGGGGAAAATCAGGAGCCCAAATATCCGGGTTAAAGCAGGTATTGGCTGACTGGCTGCTCTGGGTCTTGTCTTCAGTATGGTTGACTTCACTTGTAGCGGAGGGAGGATGGTGGCAGTCTTTGGGCCTGTGCCCAGTTACTTTTTTAGCAGAGCATAGACAGCTGTGGCTGTTTGGTCCCAGACAATCAGGAATATTTTCTAGGAGAGGTAAATGAGTGTCTGTTGGATGAGTGTCTGAATGCTGACTTTTGAATTTCAGAGAACTCTTTGTTATGCTGGCTTCTTTAGACACTTTGAATGAAACCTTTTGGTGAGGTCTGAGCTGGGCCAAACTCCTGTCACCTGTATAGGAAATGTTCCTTTGCAGCCATCCTACTTGCTTTGTGAGCTGCAGCCTAAACAGGCTGATGGCTAATTAAGCAGAGGAAAATGATGAGCAAAGTAGCAGAGCTCTTCTGGTCAATGATTGTCAGAGACTGGGTGGGCTGAGTACCCCCAGTGGTTCCATTAGGTAACCTATTAAGCATTGGACTAGCAAAGTGCATACTACCCCAGGGACCAAAGGAGCTTTCTTCCTTCATTGCCTTGCAGCAGTGTAGACTGACATTAAATATCCAGAAGTGAATTATTTACCCGAATTACAGCATTGGTTATAATATTGGGGAGGTGCAGGGCGAGAAGAATGTAAGGACAGAACTTAAGGGCACGGGTTGCACTTGGCCAGAGGAGCATTCAGAATTCTCTTTATGCATTGGTTACCTCCCTGCTTGTGGCCCACACCTGTGAGTGCTGAAGGAGCAATGTGGGAGGGAGGATACAAGTTGGACCTTTTTATGGCAGATGCTTACTTCTTCCCTAAACCAGTAAGGACTCTTTTCTGGTTGACATTTTACCTTTGTGACTCTGAAGAAATGGGACTGGTAGTTTCCCCTTCCAAATCCACAGTTGGAAATAGGCCCTCCCAGGTGTGGAGGTGGGTGGGCAGGCTGTGGTTTCTGCTATGGGTACTTTCCCCCCAGAGTGCCCTTGTGGGCTGTTGCCGGGCCTGGGCAACACCACCTCTTTCTCCTGCAGTTGTCTGTGGTGCCCTTGGTTTAAACTGCATGTTTAGGACTGATCAGCAGTTTCTTTTTGGTGGCTTCAGCATTGTAACGTATGACTTTCTAAAAGACTGATTTGGATTCTGAAAATCTTTAAGGGCCTTGTTGGGGAAATCCACCTGTTTCTGAATGCCAAATATCAATTTGCATTCCAACACATATTTCCCAATGGGAAGGGAAGGGTTGAATCCTTGAACCCTTAACTCCTCTAACATTTGTTACCAGTTACATCTTCTGGCTAACTTGAGGGTCAAATATCCCTCTTTCCCTGTGGCATATTATACAATTATGTGAGGTATGAAGAGAAAAGCTTTTCTCTCTTTCTCATATAGTACTGGAACCTGAGGGGATCCATTGAAGCTGAACAGAGGACAGGCACAAGAGGAACCACTTCTTCGCACAATGCATCGTTAAAACTATGGTTTTTGCTGCCACAAGATGTAGAGATGGCCACCAACTTTGGAACACATAAGTCTTCAAAAGGAGATTTGTACAGCATAAATCTCTCAAGTAACGGTATCTATATGCTACCTGCAGTATTGGAAGCAGTGTGCCTCTGAATGCCAGTTTCTGGGGCACAGCATCAGCAGGAGGCTGTGACGTTTATGGCCTCCTTGTAGCCTTTATTTCACCTGGGTCAAAGACCCAGTTTGGCACGCCCCCATGCACATTTGTGCAAACACATACACACAGGCTGGGAGCCTCAATGGTGCCCCTCTGGAGGCTTCACCTGGGGCAAAACCCCCATCTAGCCCCCTCCTCCCAGGTACATCTCTGCTTTGGAGCATTTTCTGGCTGTAGTGAGAAGCAGGATGCTGGACTAGATAGGCCCCCTTTGGTCTGATCCAGCTTCTGCCGGACACTTCTTATGTTTGTCATACATTGTATGTAGGCTGCCTTTGAAGGTTGTCTAGAAACTTCAGAATACAGCTGCAAGATTGCCCACGAGCTGTAGTAGGAACAGGTCTCACACTAGTACTTTACTGGCTCTCAGCCTGTTTCTGGACCCTATTCAGAGTGTTGTTTCCCACTTTTTAAACCTCTTGATAACTTGGGACCAGGATCCCTGAAGGATCCACTGTTTCCCCATGTACCAGTCTGCACACCAAGGACTTTGCAGGAGGCCTTTTTCTGGTCCTCCTGCTGAGTGAGGTGCAGCAGGTGGTTCCTGAGGAAAGGAGACAGCAGCACAGAGAGTCTTGCCTTCACTTTACTTTGTTATCGTTTTGGCTCCTGGTCTTATTTCCCCAGGCCTTTTAATCTCTTCTAGATTCAAATTGTGTTTTTTTTATCCCCCCCCGTTGTCTTATGCTGATTTAATATGTTTTGTGGCTGATAGTTATTATTTTATGTGTTTTGAATTTTTACTCCTGTTGCAACTTGGCTGTAGGGCATTATATACTTAAAATAAATTTTAACTGCTGGTGTTCGTTCTTCGACCAGCTTTCAGCATATGACAGGATAATTTATTTTCTGCACTGTGATACTTTGTGCCTTTTGTTTTACTGAGGTTCTTGTTTGTTTTACTGGGTTTATTGTGTGTTAGGCTAGGTGGAGGTTTGTTGGCTCTGGAAAAACAGCTGGTAATACAACCTGCCCCAATGCACAATGCAGGCCAAAGCCTCTGGGCGCTTCTTGGAGGAGTGCTCCCAATTGAAAGCCACGTGCGAACCTGGTGTCATGTGCGCTGTAGGATGGATGACTGTGCAGGGTTGTGAACAAAGGGGATGAAATTCTGCTTGAAGTGCAGCAATGGCTTCTGGTTGCCACTCTCTCCCAATCACCACCTCCCTGTCTCTTTCTCCCCAGTTTTCAGGGAACCTTACACAGTCCGGGTGGAGGATCAAAGGTCAATGCGTGGAAACGTGGCTGTTTTCAAGTGCCTCATCCCTTCTTCGGTGCAAGAATACGTCAGTGTTGTGTCCTGGGAGAAAGACACGGTTTCTATCATCCCAGGTAAGAGTGGAGGCATTGCTGCTCCTCACCCCCTGGTCCTGCTGCTTCCTATCACATGATATCTGTTGTCATTTTCTCTCTAGTGATCCCTGGGCAAGGGGCACAATGGATGCTGGCTGAGGATTGTCAGCCCTTTTGCCAAGTCCCAATGCCAATGGGGCCACAAGAATGGTCCCCCCCCGTTTTTTTAGGAACAGGGCCCCAGGGTGGATTCCTTCCTTCCCAGAGCTGGGCTGCCTCTGCATTTAGTCAGCTCTGTAAGGCCCCTTAGAGCTTGGATCTGGGGGCTATGGTGGTGGACTAGCTGGTGCCATGCTCATGCCGAGAGATGAGGGGAATGTGAGGAGGTGATAGTCTTGTTCAGACCACCAAGAAGAGACTAGCTGCTGATCCAGGCCAGCATCCTGTTCTCAGAGTAGACAACCAGATGCCTCTGGGAGGAGGCCTGCAGGCAGGACCCGAATGCAGCAGCTTGAGGTCCTCTCCCTGCCTGAGCTTCCCAGCAACTGGTCTTATTATACTGAGACATGCATTGGCTGATGCCTTCCTCCCTTCAAGATAGTGCCCCTGAGCCAAACAGGAGCCACACAGAACCAAAGATTGTGTTTAGCCTGGAAGTGCCTTAGAATGAAATCCATCAAATGGTTGGGGATGTTACTTTGAATTGTTCCTGGAAGTAAACACTCAAATCAAAGAATCTGACTTGTGTCTTGCAAGTCTTTAATTGGTCTTTAAAGGCTATCTGGAGAGAACATTTGACCAGCTTGCCTCAAAGCCCTACTTCTGCAGAGACTGCCAGGGTTTGGGCAGACCCAGAAGAAGGAGGGGGGTGCACCAAGGATTGCGAAGGGAGATCCTCCTCCCCCTCTTTGACCTTTTCAGTGCACACTCTGTATTATTAGAAGGAAAAGAAAACTGATTTTATAAATTGCTCATTGATTTGTGAGCAGTGCTTGCCTGAGGCAGCGTCTGCTTTGGTCTGTTGGATAATGCTCCTGCGCAGCTTCTGTGTTGGCTCCCGAAAGCTGGGATGATCTTATACCTTGTGTTGCATCTTCCCTTTGAGAAGGCTGCCATTTGAGTAGAGGGACTTAAGGATAGTGGGTAGGAGAGGGCAGCTGAAATGTTCTTCTCTGTTGCTGTGTTTCATGACTGCTTTGTGTCCATTTGTTCCCTTATTATATAAGGACTGTTCTTTCTGGATGATGTAGCTCCAGACATTGAGGTGCTATCTGATGCTGCCTCTAAGTTTCTTTAGTGTGAAACCATCTTGTGAAGCTGCTTTCTCGACTCCCCTGCTAGATCTTCCTGAGCTGAAGTGGTTAAGGCTGCTGTTGTGAGCTTTGAGTACTGGTGACTCAGAGGAGCCTGAAGGACCTGGGGGAATGGGCTGCTGCACCCTAGCAGACCTGAGACTATGATAGGGCCATACAGGCTATCCAGAGAGCCCTGCCTTTGTAAGCCAGTAGTGTTTGGCCAACCCTGCAAAGACTTGGCAAGGGCTTTGCCCCAAGGCCTGTTCATTGCTGCTGGATGTTTGTCCTTGCAAGGGTCAAGAAATGCCTCTGGTCTCAAAGCTGCCTTGCAGAAGCCTACGGTGGAAGCTGAGAGTATTGGATGTAATGCCCGAGACCTCAACACTTTTTTGTTGTTGGAGACCTAAACTGTGGGTGTTTCCATGGGCAGGCAGTGTACTCAGGTTTTTCCTGTTCTTGGGGAGTGAACAGGCCTCCTTGCAGAGAGAGAAGCCTGCTTTCTTTCCTCTGCTCAGTAAACTTGAGCAGTTGCTAGCAATCTCCTTATCCCTGGGTGGGCTGTGCTTCTCACAGTTGTTGGGGTCCTCAATGTTCCAAGCAGCAGTGGGATTGCAAGAGGGGCTTGTGGTAGAAGGGGTGACATCATAATGTAGTGTCTGCTATTGGGTTGCTCTGAAACCTCTTTGGAAGCAGAAACATACAGTGGCTGCTCCCCTATGTATGTTTGCATTTTTCTGCATGAGAAACACCTAATTCAGGTTTATTTGAATGCTGTCTTTCCAATCCCTTACTCCTTCTTAAGACTTTTACAAGATGCAGGAGTAGTGGACTTCACCACCACCACACACACACACACACACACACACACACACACACACACACTCATCCCCATCCTTGTGTTTACCATCTAACTCGATGTAGAATTATGGAGAATTTGAAAGTTTGCACACAATTTTGTGACATTTTGTTTGGCCAAATAAAGGTATTGCCCTAATGTGTCTATTTGAAGATAAAACCACTCATATCCAGTAAGACCTGTAAACAGTTGGAGCAGTTAGTATGAAGTTTCCAGAACATTAAGGGACACGGGTGGTGCTGTGGGTAAAACCTCAGCACCTAGGACTTGCCGATCGCATGGTCGGCGGTTCGAATCCCCGTGGCGGGGTGCGCTCCCGTCGTTCAGTCCCAGCGCCTGCCAACCTAGCAGTTCGAAAGCACCTCCAGGTGCAAGTAGATAAATAGGGACCGCTTACCAGCGGGAAGGTAAACGGCGTTCCGTGTGCTGCGCTGGCTCGCCAGATGCAGCTTGTCACGCTGGCCACGTGACCCGGAAGTGTCTGCGGACAGCGCTGGCTCCCGGCCTATAGAGTGAGATGGGCGCACAACCCTAGAGTCTGGCAAGACTGGCCCGTACGGGCAGGGGTACCTTTACCTTTACCTTCCAGAACATGGAGTGTGAATGTACTCATTGCATGATAATATGCATTCATTGCTAGGTGCAGACACATTTTGGGGAAGCTGTACCCAAGACATTGTCTCCATGCCATCCTTGTTCTACACTATTAGCTGTCTTAAGCGCATTCTGCAGGATTGGTTTTAATCCATTTTGTGTTGAGAGCATTTGATGCACACTACTATGTAAACTCGGCCACACAATACAAATAGTAATTCCTGTTCTTAGCAACTTTATTACGTGAATGTATGCACAATTGCAAAGCCCTATGTATAAGACGGCTCTGTGAAAAAAAAGAGCCTCGTGCATTCCTACATGTGTACATAGGCATGATCTAGTTTGGTTGTTTGGGATTCATTTCTGTTCTTGTGGCCAAAAGAAGTAGACTCGGTTGTTGCAGGAGGTTCAAATAAGTGTGCATTTGGTTCTTGCCTAATTACTTGTAGCTGGAGAAGACTATGTGAGTCCAGGAGGTGATTAATGCCTCCTTGTAAATAGCAGTCACTTCAGCCTTGAAGGAGGAAGTTGTTTGGTCTCTCCTTAAAAAACCCTCTCTGGACCCGGAAGACTGCAATGTTTATCACCTGCTCACAAATATCCACTTTTGGGCAAAGTGCTTGAGTGGGTAGTAGAAGGCTTTGTTGTATGCTGCTTGGATCACTTTTCGCTCCTAGGGGTTTACCAAACTTCTAAATGTATACAATGGATTACCTACACATCCATTTCAGTTTCATTTCAGGATTGACGTCAGTGCCAAAACCCTGATGGATGATCTTTGTAAGGAGAGAAACGGGGAAAGTGTGACCTTGTGAATTCTCCATGGTGTCACAGCACCTTTTGATACCATGTGGAAGGCTTCCGAGCCTAATTCAAGGTGGTATGCTTACTATTAAGGTCCTAAATGGCTTTCAATGCAAAGACACGAAGCGGTGGTTCTTCCCCTATCAGCCTGTCTGTGTCTTGGGAACTTCCGCCAAAGCTCTCTTTTAGGGACCTCCTTGCTCTGAGATCTGGAACTCAGCAACAAAAGAAAAGGCCTTTCTTGCAGTGGGTTCCCAGCTGCAGAACATCCTCTCTAGAGAGGCTCACCTGGCACCAACATTGCTATCTTTTCAGTGTCAGTCAAAAATGTTTATTTCTCCCTGGGCATTTTAATCGGCTGTGAATTAATTTTATGGATTGTATTTATTGCTTTACGGTTGTACTGTTATATTTATTGATTGCACATTGCCCTTGTACATTCAATCAAAAAGAATGAAGGACAGTATAAATACGTTTAAAACAAATAAATGCTTGGCTCTGTTCCCAGGAACTTGTGTGATGAAACAGTGTTTAGGGCAACCTGGGACTGACAATGAGGGCCTCCAGACGTTGTTGGACTCCAACTCCCTGGCCAACAGGGCCAATGGTCAGGGGTGGTGGGAGTTGTAGTCCAGCAACATCTGGAGGATCCCCACAACCTACTATAGAGACTCCTGGTGGCCCAGGCTGTCCCTGGCCACTATGAAGGCTGGTTCTTGCCTCTGGGTTTCTTGGTTGCACCTGCTCAAGTTTCCTTGGCTCACCTTTGGGCCTCTGTAAGGTTTTTGTAAGGGACGCGGGTGGCGCTGTGGGTAAAAGCCTCAGCGCCTAGGGCTTGCCGATCGAAAGGTCGGCGGTTGGAATCCCCGCGGCGGGGTGCGCTCCCGCTGCTTGGTCCCAGCGCCTGCCAACCTAGCAGTTCGAAAGCACCCCCGGGTGCAAGTAGATAAATAGGGACCGCAGGAAGGTAAACGGCGTTCCGTGTGCTGCGCTGGCTCGCCAGATGCAGCTATGTCACGCTGGCCACGTGACCCGGAAGTGTCTCCGGACAGCGCTGGCCCCCGGCCTCTTGAGTGAGATGAGCGCACAACCCCAGAGTCTGTCAAGACTGGCTCGTACGGGCAGGGGTACCTTTACCTTTACCTTTAAGGTTTTTGTAAGGAACCTATCACAGCATGAATGGAAACTAGAACAAACCTGCCAAATAGTGAATCATGCACCAGGTGTGATGTTCAGGTGTGGGTGGGAAGCAGGCTGTTTTTCAGAAGAGGAGCCCTTTGTCTTTCAAGGCAGTACATGGTCTGTTTTAATGAAGTTCAGTGGCCAAGTTCAGCTTTCCATTCCAAGTTCAGCTTTGGAATGTGATTTGCTGTGAGACAGTGTGCTTCCCCAGTTGCCTCTGCAGGGAGTGTGGGTGGCTGTTCTTCTTTAGCTCCCCAGAAGTATGCATATTGTGGAGAACCCACTGAGGACCTGTCTTTAATAGCCCA